GCCTGTAGTCCCAGCTACTTGGGAGGAGGAGGTTGGAGGTTGCTGTGATGCCACAGCACTCTACCAAGGGCGATAAAGTGAGACTCTGTCTCTTAAAAAAAAACATCCATTCCTAGTGACAGAGTAAAAATTAGCTAGAATGTGAGGAAAGCAGAGGTGTAGTCAGGGGATCAAGAAAATGAAGATGAGCAACAAGTAGGTAAAAGCCAAGCAAGACATGGCATTGGAGTGTGGCCAAGGTTAGGAGCAGTATTCTTGGACTGCAGGGAGCAAGGGGCAGAATGCATGGTGCAGATCATGCTTATAAATGCTTGCCATACTGCATGGAGCAGGGAGCCAACTGTAGCTCTTTGCTTCCCTTTCCTGCCCTTTGTCCAAACACATCCCATATACCAGATTATGAAACATTTTTAGAGTAAGGAACATAACTTGTATGTTTTTTAATTCTTCCCAGTCCCTTATACACAGAGACGTAATTCAAAGTGAAGTTAATAGTTAGCTTTTGAATACTTTGAGAGAATTGTTTAACCTACAGTCTATTTCTGTTCCATTTAGTTATTTCCCCTCAAGTCCTCCTCAGACACAGAGGCAGAAGAGGAGCTGTCTCAGGATGGGCTGGTTCTGCCCAGGGCTGGCAAACTTGATGAATTCCTCAGCCCAGAGGAGGAGACATATTCTACTTCTGACTCAACTGGGAGCTTTTACAGGACACCACAGGTACTAAAGCAGAAAGGTAGACAGTGTCTGTTGGAGTTGTTCTTTCAGTCTGACCCAGACAGCAATGAGAATTGCTCTGAAGATGACGAGGCCCTAGAGAGTTTCTTCCAAGACAAATGCAGGAGGAAGCCGCAGGTCCCGTGTCCTCAGTCTCTGAGGTAAGGCACAGCAGTTCCACATCTGTTTCATTCCACACCTCCAGCCAGGCAAGTCACATCACGTCTTTGGGCTTCATTTTCTTCTTCTGTAAAGCAAAGATCACTTCTACAAGTTGCCATTTACCCACGCTCCAGCTCAGAATCAGTTTTTGGCTCTAACGAGGTATTCCCATTTTTATAGGGCAATGTTAAGTCACTTTAGGCAACACTTAATCCAATGAAGCATTGGAATTGATTAAAGGAATGCCTTTCCAAACATTTTTCCCCCAAGAATGACAAGGTACATTTACTTTGGCCAAATCTGTAGTATGCATGTATACTTTATTGCATTTAGTATTTAATTTCTCCTCCAATAACCCTGTAAATATATATTATCTTTGCCATTCTCCATATGAGGACATTGAGGTTGCAAACAGAATCTTGCTCAAACTTTGAAGCATGATTTGAACCTAGGTCTGTCTGACTATAAAACTCCTCTGTCCTGTTCTCTCTCTCCTATGAAAACATTAGAGTGCACAGTGGCCATTCTGGGATCAATTCTAAAAGGAGAGTTCCCATTAGTGTTGCTAGGATTGCCCATGGGAAGGTTAATGTGGAGGTCTGTGGGGGTGTGAAGTTAGCCTGAGAAGCCAGCTGTGGTCTGCCAGGGAAGGCTGGGGAGGAGGATTAGGAGGAGCTAGGCCTCCTGACTACTCTCCCCTACAAACTTAGATCTGCTTTCTACCCTAGGTATGGCTCCACAAGGCGCTGCAGCTCCCTGAGCAGCCTTTCCTCCAACATTCCCAGGGCTCATATGCAGCCACCCTCAGGCTCTGAGCCTCCCTCCCAACACAGAAGTGTCAACTCCTGGGCATCATCCATTACTATTCCTCAGCCATTCCAGATGACACTACGTGAGGCCCGGAAGAAAGCCCAGTGGCTGGCTTCACCTGCCTCCTTTGAGCATGAGAGGCAACAGGCCCAGAGACGGGGTCAGGAGGAGGCCGAGTGCCATCGGCAGTTCCGGGCACAACCTGTGCCTGCACACGTCTACCTGCCCCTGTATCATGAGATCATGGAACGCAGTGAGTCACGAAGGCGGGTAGGAATCCAGAAGAGGAAGGAACTGCTCCTCTCCTCCTTGAAGCCCTTCAGCTTCCTAGAAAAGGAGAACCAGCGAAAGGAATCTGCTCAACAGAGAGACCTGGCTACCACAGTTAAGGCCAAAGCCCCTAAACAGAAGGCCACCAGAAAGATCCCCAAGTCCATTCTGGAGCCAGCTCTTGGGGACAAACTTCAGGGTAAAAAGATATCCATGCCAATTTGCTGCCTCCTGCCCATGGGTACTAGTAGGCAGTGTGTGGATCTAGTCAGGGCTTATGAGTCAGTCTGGCTCAGAGATGGGCTGTTTGGGTAGACTTACTGAAGTCCATGTGCTCAGTGCAGGCCGTAGGGGAAGGTTAGGCCTATCTATACAATAGGGATACTGTAAAAAGCAGAGTGAGGTCCCACATTGCCCCCCAAGGCTTGTCCTTTTGACCTCTCTCAGTGATGCTTGTGAAGGCCAGCACAGGTGCAGGAGCAGAGAACCAGTGAGACACCATGGACCAGCTTAGGCCAGTGCTATCACTAGCCAGCTGCCCCTCAGGAAAGCTCCCTCGCCTCTCCCCTCATCCTGGTGAGGTTGTATCAATCCCTAAAATTCCTTGGGGACCAATTATTTACACATTCTCAAAAGTATAGCTCCAAATAAGGGACTCAGGCTTTATTTACTCTGCAGTAGCCTGTGCCACGGCACTGTTCTATGGTGAATAAACAGACATGGAGTTTATAGACATGTGAGGAAGATAGGTAATAGACAAATAAACACAAATGTGATGAATTATTTGCAAGGCTCTCATGTCTACGGTGCCTGCCTCTCCCTTCCTACTCACCCTCTTCTCTCGACCATCTACATTCCCATCCTGCCATTGCTCAGCTTCTCTCACCTCCCACACTACACCTGCCTATGCCACTCCTTCCTCTTTGCCCACCCAGGTCAGCCCCTGATGACCTTCCTTAACTACTCCCACCCCTTATATGCCACGTTACAGAGTCTGTACTTCATCCTGCGGGCAATGGGGAGCCCCAACAGGTGGTAAGCAGGGTGGGTCATTATCAGAAATGCCGTTCAGGAAGTCCCCAACTGCTCTGTAGATAATTACACACATAATGAAGCTGCAAGACTAGAGAATGTTAATCAAATACGAAGCTATTTCAACAATTAACTTGAGAAATAATGAAACTCAGGGATAGTGAAAAGAGGATAAACTGGAGAGAGGTTAAAGAGGAGGAGATGGCAGAACTTCTGAGTGATGAGCAGAGAACAAGATGCATCAAGAATGATTTGGGCAAAGGGCTTGAGCAGCTGGGTGGATGGTAGGGCCTTTCACTAAGATGGAGAAACTTAGGCGAGGAGCAAGTGAATGGTTCACTTCTGCCTGCATTGTCTCTGAAGAATGAATCATAGAAAGTGCTCAAGGCTGGGTGCAGTGGCTCACACCTGTAATCTTAGCACTCTGGCAGAGTGAGGCAGGTGGATTGACTGAGCTCATAGGATCGAGACCAGCCTGAGCCAGAGTGAGACCTCATCTCTAAAAACAGCTAGGCATTATGGAGGGTCCCTGTTGTCCCAGCTATTTGGGAGGCTGAGGCAAGAGAATCACTTGAGCCCAAGAGTTTGAGGTTGCTATGATCTGTAAAACCATAGCACTCTACCAAGGGCAACAAAGTGAAACTCTGTCCCTCCCCCAAAAAAGTGCTCAGTAAGTAAAAACAGTAGCAGCTCTGCAGCCTGACTGGCACAGGCAGTGGTGTCATGATAAACATTGTAACACTTATCATTTTCTCCAACTCCTGGGCTCAAGCAAGTCTCCTGCCTCTGCCTCCCAAGTAGCTGGGACCACAGGTGCCCGCCACAATGCCTGGCTATTTTTCGGTTGCAGCTGTCATTGTTGTTTGGCGGGCCCAGGCTGGATTCGAACCCGCCACCTTAGGTGTATGTGGCTGGCGCCTTAGCCACTTAAGCCACAGGCAAGGAGCTGGCATAAATAATCTTATGGTGGCTAATTACAAGCTTCCCATATGATGTCAGCAGACTCACAAAATTACTAAAAAGTTAACAGTTGGCTCCAGCACACTACTACTAGTGCTTAAAAGAAGTTAAGTTCTCCAGGCTCGGCGTCTGTGGCTCAAGATTCTAAGGTGCCAGCCACATACACCTGAGCTGGCGGGTTCGAATCCAGCTTGGGCCTGCCAAACCACAATGATGGCTGCAACCAAAAAAAAATAGCCGGGTGTTGTGGTGGGCGCCTGTAGTTCCAGCTACTTGGGAGGCGGAGGCAGGAGAATCACTTGAACCCAGGAGTTGGAGGTTGCTGTGAGCTGTGATGACACAGCACTCTACCCAGGGCAACAGCTTGAGGGTCTGTCTCAAAAAAAAGTTCTCCAAACCATTTAGTATCAGACTTGGTCCCTTCTCACCCCCTTTTTCTCCACAGAAGCTGAGCTCTTCAGGAAAATTCGCATTCAGATGAGGGCCCTGGACATGCTCCAGATGGCCTCCTCCCCTCTTGCTTCCTCTAGAAACCAGGCTGACCGAGAGCCCCGCACAGCCACCCGAACCCAAAAGGAAAAGCTTGGGTTTCTGTACACTGACTTTGAATTCCAGCCTCGGGTGAACCCTGTGGTCCCCAACTACGAGGACCTTTACAAGGCCTTCCAGAGAAGAGCTGCCAAAAAAAGGGAAACCCGAGAGGTGACTCGCAACAAGCCCTTCTTGTTGAGGACTGCCAGCCTGCATCACACTCGGCGGCCCTGTGATGCCTCCTCCACTGGAGGGAGGAGGGTGAGAGCCTAGGCAGCTGTGGGAGTCAGAGAGGGTGGGTCTGGGTCTAGACAAAAAGCACTTCTTATGACATTTTTCTTTTTTTTCTTAAGCACTAGCTCACTTGTAAGCAGATCCACATTCATATAAAGTCAAGACCATGGGAAGACTTTTTTTCTTTCCCACTCTAGGGATCCTGCAAAAATAAGTCCACGCTGGTATGGAAGGCAGGGAATTGGGATCAGTTGCTTATGTCCCTATACAAATCTGAAGGAACTCTTATTATTGAATTAAAAACTTTAAGATTCCTATCTTTTAGTAACTTCTGCTTGTTACTAAATTTAAGGTCTTATTATCCTTGCCTTAGTCTCAGGGAACAAAATGAAGATTCTTATTTTCAGTTCTTCACTGAAATTGAATCTTTATTAAGATAGAAACTGGCTTGGTGCCTGTGGCTCAAGCGGCTAAGGCGCCAGCCAC